TCTTCTGCTGCCTGCTGACTGGGGTCATCGCCCTCATCTACTCCCACGAGGTAAGGACGGCGCCATCCTGATTTACGCCGAACCCGCCTGGCGCCTTCAATCCCCGCTCCCGGTGCTGCGGGTCTCTTCTAACCTCTCCCCTTCTCCTCCTGTGCCAGACCCGGGCTGCGCTCGGCCGTGGGGACATGGCCCAGGCGAATGTGGCATCCAAAAAGGCCCAGTCGCTGGTCCTCTTCAGCCTCCTCTTTGGGTTGTTCGCCTCCATCAGCTGGGTCATCTACGTCCTGGTGGCCCTGTACCTATGACAGGGCCCCCGAGCCCCACGGACACGGCGCGTGCCGGGAGCTCCTTGCGGCTCACCACGGCCCAGGGGCACGGGCAGGTGGAGCGGCCGCAGCCCCCGCGTGGCAGCGCTGGGGCTGCCGCGGGAAATGGGTGACCACAAAGCATTATCGGGGCCGAGGGGCAGCGTCTGTCCTTCCTGGTGGGGCGAGGAGCCGCTCTGGAGCCGCACGTGCCTTCGCTCGCCCGCCCGCTCTCAGCCCTGTGAACCACGGCACGGGCAGGACGGACCCAGACCAAAGCGATGCCGGTGCCGTGCTCTGCCGGAGCCAGCTCTGGGCAGGGAGCCGTGCTGGAGCAGCGGCACCACGTACGGGATCGGGCTCTGCTGCAGGATCTTGAATCCCGTTACCGCAGACCGTCACTTGGAGATGCAAAACGGGACTCTGTCGCAGGGGGAGCGTCTTGCAGAGCCGGGGCTGGAGACGGAGCAAACGGCCAAGGCGGAACGGAGAGGCCGAGGTCTGCTGGCAGCTGCTGCTCCGGGTGTGCGAGAAGCCCTCACCGGTAATTAATCATGTGAGAAGATAGAAACCCACGTATTTAGCTTCTACAGTAATTCAGCACACACAAATACACACACACGCTGTATCGCCACCTTCCTGCTGCTTCCAGATTGAAATGAAATACAGGTGTAGCCAAAGCTTCTGTTTTCTCTGCACACCAAGGACCTCCCCCCCCACCCCGTGGCTTTTGTCCACCACAAAATTCAGGGTAAGTTCTCCTGCAACTGGTCAAATCAGGGTTTCCTCCAAAAGCAAGTGGGTGCCAGGGCTTCCCCTGGGAGCCCCCGGGGAAGGGGAGCCCCCGCATGGGACCGTGCTGGGGATGGAGCGGCCCCAGGTCCGGGGGTGCCACTCGCAGAGCTGCTGCAGCCGCGAGAAAGGGGAGGACGAGCCGCTGGGTCTTCCGAAGGCTGCTCCGATGAGCCGAGCTCCAGCTCTGCAATGGCAGGAGCCGAGCAGGGATGTAAGTGTGCCCCGTGCCAGGCCCCGGCTCTGCTCACAGCCATGCTCGTGTCTGCCTGGCGGGGGGCCGTGACAGGCCCCGCAGCCCCCTCGCACTTCGCTGGGCCGGTGGGATGCGGCACCGCGGTCCAGCCCCGGCGAGCGAGCGGTATGTGCTCGGTCAGTGTCTGGGCATCTTCCTCCTGAGCTGGACGATGCCGATTATTTCCAGAGGAATTTTTGAACCCCGTCCAGGACTGAAATAGTGCGGGAGCATGCTCGGCCGCCCA